CACACAACACGGCCCAGCCCGGCACAAAAGAAGACCTCGTCTTTCTCTGTTGCAGTTTCACTTTCACTTACAGGTCTTCTCCCAAGCTTCCTGAAAATATCACAGCACGACCCGGCCTCAGTACTTCTCTCCGGAGCCCTCAGCCCCTGATGCAAGCAGTGGGCCGGCTCTTGGGAGGGGTTATGCAAATATCAAAATGGCTTGATGGGTGGGTGGAGGAGCGGGTGTTCCTAGGCAGGTTCTATTTGCATACAGACCTCCATAGTTAACGCCCACATGTGATGCTGAGCCTCCATGATTGAAAGAACAGAAACCCAATGAAGGAAAGGGGCGGGGCCAGGGCCAGTCAGGCCGGGGAGGAAAGTGCTGGATGATGCTGGACGTCCTTCAGCCAGGAAATGAGGCGGAGCTCTCTCTGACTTGCTGCAGCTTCTAATGTACATTGTGAGAAGCTCCCAGTGTTCAGTGATATCAGAGGAAGAGGAGCCGGTACAACTGTGCAAGACTGAAGGGAAGGACGGAGGTCAGATAGAAGACTGAAGGGGAAGACTGAAGTGGAGGACGGAGGTCAGATAGAAGACTGAAGGGAAGGACGGAGGTCAGATAGAAGACTGAAGGGAAGGATGGAGGTCAGATAGAAGACTGAAGGGAAGTACGGAGGTCAGATAGAAGACTGAAGGGGAGGACGGAGGTCAGATAGAAGACTGAAGGGAAGGACGGAGGTCAGATATAAGACTGAAGGGAAGGATGGAGGTCAGATAGAAGACTGAAGGGAAGGACGGAGGTCAGATATACACAGTGACTCATGCCTATGGCTGTCAGAGTCTCGCAGTGCATTATGGGACTTGTAGTACCACAACAGCTGGAGAGCCGAGGTTGCCTACCCCCGCTTCCAGGATAGGGAGAGTTATTGTCAAAACAAATGACAGTTGTGCTCAGTTGGCTCCAATGAGATTCAGCAATGACAGTCACATGGCTGAACTGAAGATCCTTATTCCTCATGTATACATATTCCCTGTGGAAGACGGGAGCTCCCCTTTAAGCCCGCCACCGGGGGAAAGGGCCGCGCTTCGGCGGTCGTAAACCAGGAAGCCGTTTCTCTTCGGCGTCCCCGGCAGACATTGGCGTGACCTTCCCGCGAGGCTCAGGCGCACCTTGTCTGCGGAAGGTGCTGAATCAGTGGTCGGGGGTGAGATGAGGCGGCCT